GAAGATCGCCAAAGCTTGATGCTAGTAAAGCGATATCATCGGCATAGTCGAGATCAGTCAACCGGCGTCCGGGTTCAAGCTCAATACGGTCGCTTTCTTGTAGGGCCTTCTCGAGAACCCAGTCAATGACGTAGTTAAATAGGTGTTGTTTGCCCTGCCAGTCGCCCTTTGCTATATCCACTTTTAACGATTCAGAAGGCCGTTTTTGAACTGTCTGGCTGCCTTAGACGCCCGCCCCGGTAACTGGGACTTGTTTTACCCACAAAACCAAACCCACCTGCGCATCACCACCCTGCTGGGCGTATTGATCTTTCCATCTGCTGTGTTCTTAAAAGTCTTGCGCTTTCTGACTGCATTATTCCACCCCCCCTCCATCCGCCGACTTCCTCCTCCAGATGACATTGAGGACACTTACCATTGTCCGAAGGCCCTGCCTGACCATGCCACCGCGTCCGACGCCTGCTATGCCATCGTAAACGAACCCCGGACGTTCTCCGAGGCCGTAGACTACTGCCATGGCCTGCATCCGCAAGCCCATGTTGCCTCCTTCCATTACTCGGGCACGGAAAAGGATCTCGTACGTATTGCTGCCCCGCCCCACGTCGCCCCGCTTGCTACTTGCCACCCTCCACCCCAACCCCGTGCTTTTGCCTAACGTTTTTTTTCTCCTCACGTACACCTTTATTTTGCTCCTCCTCCTCCGGCCGCACACAGCTCGGACTGAACCTGCTTAGCGTCAATCACAGCTACTGGTTTGGCCTCTACAAGGTCAGCAATATCTACCTCTGGATCGACTCCGGTTCGGTGCAGCATGTGCAAAGACCCACGGGGCTCATGCGGTCACGTCATTGGCGTCTGCGTGACTGCTTCAAAATGAATGTCACCTCGAAGACCGGTACGTCCCCTGTCTCGTTATCTCAAGTGTTTTTCCTTTCTCTCTCTCTCTCTCTGTGCTCGTTTGACGGGGAATGCAGCTTTTTTGCGCCTACATAGCCTTCTGTGCGTTTTTTGCTTCCTCTGTCTTGCATGCGATGCGTACTATATCTTTTTTTCATTTGGAGGGCTGATGTAAAGGCCCACCGAAAAAAGTGCGCTTTCTTCACAGAAGAGAGGGCCTCGCACGGCCCTTGCGGATAAATACGCGATCTGTTTTGTACTAAGAAGCCAGACTGAATAAACGGTCCATGCTTTAGATCTGTCAACTGTTTGAGGGTGTTGTCTTTCCCGGTACACGTGT